AACTGCTTAAAATAAAATTAATGTCTATCAAAATTATTAAAAACATGAATTCTTCCAAGACTATTTCTACATGCCCCACACCAATCTACAGAGGCGCCACAAACATCAAACAGATAAACCTCCACACTTCACCACAACCTATTTCTGCCTGAACAAAACACTTCATTTACTTAGGGTGAAAAATATAGTCCCTATTTGACCTAACTAAATGAGCAACACTCACAAAAACTACTCCATTTCCAACCCTGTTAGGAATTGCAGGACCATTTATGCTATCATTCTCCCATCATACCTCGAGATTAGTTGCTTCCTCCCTTTCTGGTGGCTCAACCAATCTCTGCCCATTCAGGCCCAAGTATTTATAGTATTTTAACATCAACATCACCCTACAAAAACAATAGAATACTTCCTTTAGCCTGGAAAATCAGGAGATGGAGACTTGCCATTCATCCATGACTGCAGAGTAACTTTGTCATGGAAAACCTCAGGAGTAGTTTGTAACTGTTGACTATGGAATGAATTTAGACATAGACACGATCTACTAGATCAGCCTGTCTGTGCCACTTCAGGTTCAAGATACTGTCCTGCGACAGAGTGAATTGGGTATGGAATAAAAGAGTGAGTTTTAGGATATTTTGTTAGATTTGACCCTGTTAATGGCAAATGTATTTGTTATAAGTAATAAATCATTGTAAAAATAAGTTTTTACAAGCAGCCCCATTGGCTCCAGATTACTATTAATGATGTAGATAGCACCCTTACTGTTTGTTAGTTGTTGAGAATATGCTTGGCCCTGTACAATATACAGAGACCTGGTTCCCCTGCCTGAGCTGCCAAGAGCACACAGATACTAGGACTCTAAGCATAGAGAGAACCTCAGAAATGCAGTGAGGTGATGTAGCAATGGCATGAGATTGTGACATTTGGGAGCCTTGGGAAAGAACTGTGTTTTCAGAAGGATCTGAAAAGAAGGTGGGAACTGGTGCTAGGATAAGGACTGAACTCTTCGCAGAAGGATGAGCAGTGGTCTTTTACATATAAGACATTCCCTGCCCCAATGAGCTAAATTGAGCCTCTGTTTCCTAGATGATCCATGTACCATGTGTGCATATGACAGTAGCCCAGAGCCTGCATAGGGTAGCACCAGGGCTGGCTTCAGCGTTTTTGCCGCCCCAAGTGGCCAAAAAAAAAGAAGCCGCGATCGGCGGCACTTCGGCGGCAGCTCTACCGCCGCCGCTTCATTCTTCGGCAGCAGGTCCTTCCTTCCGAGAGAGACAGAGGGATCTGCCGCCGAAGAGCAGGGCGTGCCGTTCCTTTCCGTTGGCCACCCCAAGCACCTGCTTGCTGCGCTGGTGCCTGGAGCCGACCCTGGATAGCACCCTTGCCACAGGAGCAGCTGCAGTCAGTGTCATGCAGGACATGGAGTGCATTCAGTGAATCCTCAGCCAAGACAGCATGGCAGAGCATAGCCTCAGCAGCTGCTGGCTTCACAATGAACTGCTACCAAGTGGTCGTGCAAAAAGCAGAAATGGGTGCAAACTGGAAAGAATCAATGTCTAAACAAATGCCTGGGTGAATCAGAGAATCAGTGTTCAGCTGCATGAGTGAATCAGAAACAAGTGTGCAAATGAACAACTAGTCAGAGGGGGAGAGAATGAACATAAGAACAGCCATACTGAGTCAGACCAAAGGTCCATCTAGCCCAGTATCCTGTCTTCCAACAGTGGCCAATGCTAGGTGCCCCAGAGGGAATGAACAGAACAGGTGGTCATCAAGTGATCCATCCCATCGCTTATTCCCAGCTTCTGGCAAACAGAGACTAGGGACACCATCTCTGCCCATCCTGGCTAATAGCCATTGATGGGCCTATCCTCCATGAACTTATCTAGTTCTTTTTTTGAACCCTGTTCTAGTCTTGGCCTTCACATCATCCTCTGGCAAGGAGTTCCACAGATTGACCATGTGTTGTGTGAAAAAATACTTCCTTTTTTTTAAACCTGCTGCCTATTAATTTCATTTGCTGATCCCTAGTTCTTGTGTTATGAGGAGTAAAGAACACTTCTTTATTTATTTCTCCACACCAGTCATGATTTTATAGACCTCTATCATATCCCCCCTTAGTCGTCTCTTTTCCAAGTTGAAAAATCCCAGTCTTATTAATCTCTCCTCATATGGCAGCTGTTCCATGTCCCTGGTACACAGTATTCAAGATGTGGGCATACCATGGATTTATATAGTGGCAATATATTTTCTGTCTTATTTTCTATCCCTTTCTTAACAATTCCCAACATTCCATTCGCTTTTTTGACTGAGTGGATGTTTTCAGAGAACTAGCCACAATGACTCCAAGATCTCTTTCTTGAGTGTGTGAATAAGTCATAGGAACACAGGAATTGTCACACTGGGTCAGACCTATGGGCCATCTAGTGTAGTATTTTGTCTCTGAGACTAAACTACACTAGTTTCAGAGGAAGATACAATAGATACTCTGCATTGTACAAATTTGGGATATTCAGTCCCCTATGTTAGGTGTCCTCTAATAGTTAGAGATTGGCTTAAGCCTTGAAGCATGAGGGTGAACACCCCTTCCAAAATTGGTTAGCATCAACTACTGTAACTCTGGATATATGTTATCCATATAAATGTCCAATCTCTTTGAATCTCAGTTGGTTTCTGGCCTTGATAACTTCCTTTGACAATGAGTTCCACAGTTTAAGTATGCGCTGGGTGAAAAGTTATTTCATCCATTTTGATTTGTCTCGTTTCTGTTTGACTGTTCCCTTGTTCTTATATTAGGAGACAGAGAACAAGTTCCTGAGCTGCTTTCTGTAGACCAGGGGTTCTCAAACGTCATTGCACCACGACCCCCTTCTGACAACGAAAATTACTACATGACCCCAGGAGAGGGGGACTGAAGCCTGAGCCCACCCGTGTCCCACTGTTCCAGGCAGGAGGGACCAAAGCCCAAGGGCTTCATCCCGGGGCAGAGGGCCTGTAACCTGAGGTGGTAGTTCTCAGGCTTCAGCCCTGGGCAGTGGGGCTCAGGCTTCAGCTTTGGCCCAGGCCCCAGCCAGCCTAACACCAGCCCTGGTGAAATGGGGTCACAACCCAGTTTGAGAACTGCTGTGCTAGACCACATTTCTGTGTGTATATTTACCGTGTCCCCTCTTACCCATCCCCAGCCTGAGGTAACAAGCCCAGCCTTTTCCCTGTGAGAATGCCTGACTGAGTGCTGGGAACGAGAGAGCCAGGTTGGTGACAGACTGTTAGGGTGACCAGAATGAGAGGAAGTAAATATCAGGACACATGGGGGTCTGCCGGCGGAGCAGAAAAAAAAAGCCGAGTGCTGCCAGTGGAGGGAAAAAAAA